CTGGGAGTCAGGACTTCTGGGTTCTCCCCCCAGCTCTGGGGGGGAGTGGGGTCTGGTAGGTTAGAGCAGGGGCGGCTGGGAGTCAGGACTTCTGGGTTCTCCCCCCAGCTCTGGGGGGGAGTGGGGTCTGGTAGGTTAGAGCAGGGGCGGCTGGGAGTCAGGACTTCTGGGTTCTCCCCCCAGCTCTGGGAGGGGAGTGGGGTCTGATGGGTTAGAGCAGGGGGGGGCTGGGAGTCAGGACTCCTGGGTTCTACCTTCACATTCAGTTCTTCTTCGAGCGATGTTCCCTATTGTTATCCATTAAGGGTTGACGCGTTCTCTGGCCCCAGATAATTTGAAAGTAATAGTGTCCACTGGTCCACGCATGCGCCCTTCCTTCGCCTCATGGTGTCGTCCAAGGCCATAAAGGGCGGGGTGGACCGACCGCACCTCCTGTTCCTTCTCCACTGCCGCATGGTCGGAGCCGGAGCCGCTGCTGTCCTCGCGTCTCTGACCCGTGGTAGAGTTGTCCAGAGCTCGTTTCATTCTAGTTTCTGCTGTTCTTCGTGGCGTTGAGCCTTGAGCAGTAGTTCTTAGGAGATGAGAGACTTTGGGGACTCCGTTTACCAGCCCCTCCCACCCCAGCACCTGCGCCTGTGTACTGGATTATGCCGAAGACGCCGGGGTTCGAGGTCTGCGCTGCCGGCCTGTGTTCGTTCTCGTATCAATGCCGCCTCTCCTGCTTGGGGGAAGCCCACATTGCATCCAGGTGCAATGGCTGTCTCTCCTCCCAGCCGTACCCGGGAAGGCCGGGCTCTTGACCTCAGCAAGCATCTCCCAGGGGGTGCCATGAGGCCGCCGTCGGACCCAGCCGGGCAGCCCCTGAGAAACCCAGGAACGCGCCTCCGACAGCGGAGAACGGGTCCGGGTCCGGGGGTACCACTACTATGCCGGCGCCTAGCCCGGACGCAAGGAAGCAGGCGCGTAAGCACGGCAGTAAGTCTTCCTCCAGGCCTAAGGAGACGATGCGCCTTCCGTGAGTTCCCGCCCCAGAGAAACGGTGCCTTCCCAGGCTCACAAGCAGGACAAGAAATCGTGTAGGCTGGGAAATCCACTGGGACGAAGCCCCGAGCCGCACACGCCTTCCCTACTGGCTCCCCTTCAGTTAGGGGAACTGGTGGTTTCGAAATAGTCACACCGAGGAGGTGAGAGACGGCGCCGGAGCCACGTGAACTCTTTGCCCTTGCGGAGCCGAATTCTGCATGTCTCCCTCTGCCGTCTGCCTGGCTCCAGCCCAGGACGTACCTCGGTCCAGTCGTGCTCTCACTCCCCGTTCCCCTATGGTGTATACGGCTCCACCGGTACCGCCGTTGGGACCAGGATCTGCGTTTTCAGCCTCGGAGGAGTCGGATGGCTTTGGGCACTCTCGCGTAGGCGTTCAGAACCGGTTCTGGAGGGTGAGCCGCTCAGCTCGGTGCCGCCGGCACAGGAGCCCTTCCAGATACACCTGTGTCCTCGGCTCCAGACGGCTTTCGCCGGTTCCGGGACCTCCTACGCAGGGTGGCGGGGCACTTCCGTATTCCACCGGAGGAAGAACGAGGCAAACCACCCCCCCCCTCGGGGGGGAGTGGTCCTAGCACTCTTCGTACCAGCTTGGAGTGCGGTAACAACGGACGAGCGGGTCCTGGCTGCCGTTCGACATGGCTATACGATGGAGTTCACAGCGCTGCCTCGTCCATGTTCCCGCACCCTGATCCCTCCTCAGGGACCCGCTCACGACAGCGTCCTCGCTCGAGCGGTCAGCTCCCTACGGCAAAGGGGAGGTGATAGAGCGGGTTCCTCCGGACTCTCAGGGCACGGGGTTCTGTTCCACGTATTTCCTGGTACCCCAGAAGAAGGTGGAGACCGATCCTGGATCCCCGTCTCCTCAGTTGCTTCATCCACAAGCCCAAGTTTCGGATGGTCACCGTGGCAGCCATCTTCCCGTCTCTGGATGGTTCATGGTTCTCAATGTGCAAGATGCCTGTTTTCACGGAGACGTCCACCCAACCCCCAGAAAGCTCTTGAGATTCGCGGTGGGCCCTCCGCACTTCCAATCCAGGGTCCTACCCTTTGGACTCACCCCTGCTCCCCGGGTCTTCCCCAAAATTTCCTCTGTCGTAGCCACCCACCGCTGGCATCACGGGGTCTTTAGATTCCCCTCCCTCGACCACTGGCTGCTAGCCACGCGATCCGAGGACGCTGCCGTTCCTCCCCTGGAGGCGAGCATCAGTGTCGAAAAATCGACTTCGGTTCCCACATGGTCCCTGGATATCACAGGGGCCTCCATCGATGTGGTCTCGGCACGGGTCGACCTGGTAAGGGACAGGTTCCAGACCCTGTGGGAACTCGTCACCTGAGTAATCAATGGTCCTTCTGTTCCGGTCAGGACCTGCCTATCCCTCCTTGGCCACACGTACGTCAGTCACCATCTTCACTCGCCTCTGCCTTCGCTGTCTTCAGGTGTGACTCCGGAGAGCCGGTTCACCCATGCGACAGACCATGGGCTTTCTGTCGTCTCCCCCACCCCCACCGGAGGTGTTCTCCTCGCTCCAGTGGTAGACGGTCCCCAGGCATGTGATGCCTTTCCTCCTGTCTTCTCTGGACACGATCGTCACGGGCACATTGCTCGCCGGCCTGGGCGCCCACATGGGACCTGGACCTCTCGGGGATCCAGAATGCACATCAATATCCCCGTGCTTCAGGCGCAGTGGAGGCCATGTCGTGCGGGAATGTTCGTCGGCAGCACAAGATGTACCTTCGAGCGGCAGGCAGGCGTCCACCAGGCTCCTGTCCGGACAAGTGGAAGCATTTCACCTCCTGGGCCCGACACCCCCCGACGACATGAACGTGCCCCCTTCTCTGTGCTTGACCATGTCAGGACTTGCTCTCCGTCCCATCACGGTCCACCTAACGGCTCTCAGGACCCTCCGCCCCCCTGTGCGTGGACACGCCGTCCGTCCATCCGTACGCAGCCATTGACGGCCAGATCTGCTCCGAACCTTCCCGCCCATCACGCCCCTGCGGGACCTCAACCTCGTCCGCGCGATGTGAATGAAATCGCCCTTCCTCGGAGCAATTCCTTCCGCAAGACGGGTCGGTGAACGGGGGGCCGGGAGGGGGGCCCCCCAAAGCCTCCTGGTGCCTGCACCCCGAGTTTCTCCCAAAGGTCATTCCCTGGTTTCAGCTCAACCAGCCCATCCGCTTCTTTCCAAAGCCTCCCGCCTTGGCGGAGGAGCGGCGCCTTCCCTCCCCTGACGTCCGCCAGGCCCTGGCCTTCCACCTGCAGAGGACAAGACCTTTCCGGACGTCCCCTAGACTGCCCGCCCCATGATCCTTTCAGTTCTGGCGCTAAACAGTCTCCACACGGAGGGTTTCTAAGTGCATTTGGGGGGCGTTCGGCTCTATCGGTTGTCAGGATGGTCTCCACCCCGTGGGGTGAGGGCCCCTTTCCTCAAGCGCGCGAGTGCCAACTACAGCCACCCTGTGCGACCTGCCGCTTTCGGACGTATGTCGGTGTGACGGGTTCCCTGGGGTGCAGCCTGGAACTGGGGTACCGCTGAGCCCTCTGTCCCACCAACCTGGGCTCCCTCTCACACTGGGATGCTGTGACAAGCTGCAGACCCCTCCAGGTCCTGCATTCACCCAGCTGAGTTACGTGATTGATCTCCCAGCCACTTGTGAACTGTCAATAGAGGGGATCCAGCCAATTCGCCCCCAGCTCCCCAGCCTACAGCCCCAGGGCTGTGCTGTCTTGCCCTGCTCAGAAGCCTGGCCGGTGTGAGTTCATTACCCAGTCCACCCCTCCCTCAATGCGGAGAGGACATGCACCAGCTCTGGTTCCGGAGCAGATCTCCCAAGCACTTCAACCAAAGCCCACTCCTTTAGGTAAAATATAAAACCGGTTTATTAACTACAGACAGACAGACAGGTGTGAAGTGATTCTAAGTAATAAGCGCACAGATCAAAGTCGGTTTCCTAAGAAGTAAACGTCAAATCGCAACCTGAGTTCTATAAACTAGACAGGATTTGAATCAAGCCGTGTCTCACCCTGATGGTCTAGTTCCTTACTACGCAGGCTGGTATTCTCCTGTCCAGCCTAGGCCCCCCGCCCCAGTTCAGTCTTTGTTCTCCAGACGTGTTTCCAGGTGTTCAGTTGGAGGTGAGGGGGGGTGAGGCCAAGTGATGATGTCATTTCCCCTCTTCCAGCTCGCTGGAAAGACCCTTTGCTATGACGTGAGTCAAGCAGCCTCCATTGTCCATGTGCTCTCTCTGAGAAGTCTCCATTGTATCCAGCTCCTATGACAGTCCTTGGGAGTGTGGATTCCTTTAATGGGCCACCAGCACGTCTGGCTGCTCCATTGTTGCACCTGAAAGGCTGGTTGTGGGTGTTCCCAACCTCACAACATATTTCAGTCACACACACAGAGCAAAACTTCATAACTTCCCATCCAGGGACAGCTCACACCATCCAACAGGATGTTAATGATCAACAGATCAAGACTTTTAAAGGGTTACCTCACAAGGCATGCACTGTACAAACCATATCGTAATCCCATTGCCTGGGTCAATATGGGGGTGCCAGGGTGTTGCTTTGGGGTACAGAGTGTCACAGTCGAGCGGCCATGCGGAGTTCGGCACACGCCTTGGTGCGAGGTCTCGGCGGGCCTCCATCCTCTTCCTCACACCCTCCTCTGAATTCGGCACTGCTTGGTCATCGCCCTGAGCGGAACGCAATAGAGACCATCGCTCGGAGAAGGAGAGGAGGTTACTTCCCTGTAACTGGAGGTTCTTGGAGATGTGTTGTCCCCTATTTGGATTCCAACTCCGCCCTCCTTCCCCTCTGCCATGGAGCTGTTAGATTTGCAGTGGAGAAGGAACTGGAGATGCAGTCGTAACAGACGCTACTTTCAAATTCTCCGGCTCTGGGCGCACGGCCCTCCATGGAATACAGATCGGGACCACCCATCTCGAAGAACCTCCAGTTACAGGTACATAACCTCCTCTTCCAGTCCTGGGGGATCAATTTGCCCTGTTCACACCCCGATTTCCTTTCTCTCTCCCCAGCAGCTGCTGGGGCAGCCGCACCCCCGACCCACTGCCGCAAGCCGGCCGGCCGCTCTTACCAGTGCCCGGAGTGCGGGAAATCCTTCCGGCAGAGCTCGCACCTCCTCCAGCACCAGACCACGCACACGGGCGAGCGGCCCTACCGCTGCCCCGACTGCGGCCGGGCCTTCAGCCAGAGCTCCGACCTGGTGCGGCACCAGCGCGTCCACACGGGCGAGCGCCCCTACCGCTGCCCCGACTGCGGCCGGGCCTTCAGCCAGAGCTCCAACCTGCTCCAGCACCGGCGCGCCAACTCCGGCGCCCGCCCCTTCCGCTGCGCCCAGTGCGGCAAGGCCTTCGGCCGCAGCTCCCACCTGCTCAAGCACCAGGCCACCCACTCCGGCGAGCGGCCCTTTGGCTGCGCCGATTGCGGCAAGCGCTTCGGCCACAGCTCCAGCCTGCTCCAGCACCAGCGGGTCCACGCCGGCCAGCGGCCCTTCGGCTGCGCCGACTGCGGCAAGAGCTTCCTGCAGAGCTCCGACCTGCTCAAGCACCGGCGCGTCCACACTGGGGAGAAGCCCTACACCTGCGGGGAGTGCGGGCGCGGCTTCAGCCAGCGCTCCCACGTGGTCAAACACCGCCGGGTCCACAGCCGGGGCAAGCCCTGAGGGGGCGGGGGGGTGAGATGGGGGGCGATCGGGGGGCAGATGGGGGCAGATGAGCTGGAGGAGGGGAGATGGGGGCGGAGGAGCTGGAGGGAGGTGAGATCGGGAGAAGACGGCCCATGGGGACAGCTCCCACAGGGGACAGCTCCGGCCACCGGACCCCTGAGAGACTCTGCCACGGGGCAGCCCAGGACACAGGAGCCATGGGGCACCTCACCGGGCTGCCAGAGGTGCATCACCAGGAGCCGGCTGGGCTGTTGTGACCACAGGCAGCCTAGGACATGGGAGACCCCCCACGGCACAGACACCCTGACGGACGAGCTGACCAGGGGGCTCTCGGTGCCGGACGGACAGAGGAAATGCCCGGCTTCGGGGGAAGCTCAGGGCTCGGCAGAGACTCGGCCATGGACGGAGACGCTCGGCGGGAAGCTGCAGACGCTGCTTGGGGCCAGCCGCGGGGTGGGGCGGTGGGAAGGGGATGCGGATGTCAAGTGGGGTGTCTGCTGTGGGGCTGTGTGGAGGCAAGCTCCCAAATTCCCCGTCCCCTCCCTAAGCCCCAGCCCCCCATCTGCCCACTGTACCCCCAAATCACCTCCCAGCCCCCCAAATCCTCTCCCCGCCCCCTCAGCTACACCTGTCCCCTCATCCATTCCCTGCCCCATAGCCATGCCCCCCAAATCGCCCCCAACCCCCTCACTCACTCCCCCTGCCCCCTATAGCCATTCCCCTGTCCCCTAAAACTGGCTGGGCCGATGGGTCTGAGCCGGGGGATGTTTCTGAGGGTGGAGGCGGGATACCGGGCTAGATGGACCCATGGGTCTGACCCAGGGCTGCTGGTCAAATCCTTCTCTCTCGGACTGGCTCTGGGCTTTCCTAGCTCTGTTCCCCCAAAGCCCAGGCCCCCCTGGGACAGTTCAGAGCCTGGCTCTCGCCAAGGCCAGCACCTCACTGCAAGGCTCTGGGGGACTTTTCTTTGTCGCTGGCGTGAGGAGACGGCGGAGTGGGGAGCTCAGTGTGGGTCGCGCCCGGGCTCTGGGCAGGAGGCCAATAAATACAGGATGAGAGAAAAGGGCTCCCTGAGTGTCTGTCTGTCTCTGTGCCCCACGGCGCCCCACAGGGCCCAGCCAGGACTGCCAAGGGGGAGCGCCCCCTGCTGGGCCCCGCGCCTCATTCCCTGCAGCACAGCACCCCCTACTGCCCCATGGGGGCCAGCCCTGCCTGCCGGGGGAGCGCAGGGATGGGGTGGCCAATGGGAGGGCGGCACCGGGCGCGTCACCGTTTCCTTTCGCTTCTCGGTGCGAGAGGAAGTGGGCAGAGCAGACGCGGCCAGGTGCAGCCGAAGCTGAGAGCAGCGCAGACGCCGCCATGGTGAGCAGCCCACGGCGTATCCCCGGACCTCCTGCCCCACTCCCCACAGCGCCCCCTGCTGGGCAAGGCTGGGGCTGGGGTAGCCGGGAGCTCCCCCCACAGCCCGCCTCCCGCCCCCTCCCCATAGCGCCCCCTGCTGGGAGAGGTGCTGGAAGCCCAGACTCCTGGGTTCTCTCCCCCAGCTCTGGGAGGGGAGTGGGGTCTAGTGGGTTAGAGCAGGGGGGCTGGGAGCCAGGACTCCTGGGTTCTCTCCCCGGCTCTGGGAGGGGAGTGGGGGCTGGTGGTTGAGAGCGAGGGGGTGCTGGGAGCGAGGACTCCTGGGTTCTCTCCCCGGCTCTGGGAGGGGAGTGGGGGCTGGTGGGTGAGAGCAGGGGGTGCTGGGAGCGCGGACTCCCGGGTTCTCTCCCCGGCTCTGGGAGGGGAGTGGGGGCTGGTGGGTGAGAGCAGGGGGTGCTGGGAGCGCGGACTCCCGGGTTCTC